AGGCCCCAGGTGTGGTGGCCGTGGGCACACAGTGGGAAGGTCACGCTGGGAGGTGGCCCCGCAGGGCGAAGCCACGACAGCGTGAGGCCCTGGGGCCGATTATGCGTCTGGACGAACAGCAGATTCAAAGAGCCATCCGGGTTTTGGACCATTGGACAGGTCAGGGTCGCGATGGCTTCTTCAGGCGAGAAGAGGATAATTGATGGGGTTTGAAGTCACAGTGGCCAACGTCCAAGTGGTGATGCGTGTGATGTTTCAAAACGCAGAATGCGAGGCAGTGTCGCTGTGGCCAGCCAGCGTTCGGTGCACGTGCGGCAGACAGCTGAGGCCACCTGACATGCGGCGTGAGAGCGCGTGGGCCACAGTCCACGTTCCCTCCTGAGCTCAGAGGTGGGCTTTGCCAGCTGGCCCTCGGGGACAAAGGAGCAGGGAAGGGGCCTGGCTCCTTGTCTGAGGAGCCCCCACCTCGGCCCAGTGAGCGAGCCGCCCTCCGCCCGGGGAAGGGAGTGGGGTGGCGGGAAGCCGGAGGGCTGGGGCTCCGTGGCTCCCGCGCATGGCTGAGAGCTGGCAGAGGCTTACGCAGGCCATCGTGAGGTCTGCCGGGCACGTGGCACTCGCTGGCCATAGAACAGCCGTGACACGTGGTTTGCAGTCATCAGCCATCGGCGTGGTGCTGCCGCTCTTGCTAATGCACTCTGTTCTGTGCTCTAGAAAGTCCCCAGCGAGCGCAACCACACCGGAAGTGTGCAGGGCTCTCCCCTCCGGAGCGGGACGGGAGCCCACGACGTCCTGCTTTTGACTGCAGCTCGCCGCGGTCAGCCTGGACGGAAACCTGCAGCTGTCGGAGCTGGGGACTGACCGCGGACGTGAGGGGCTGCGCGGGTAGCCAGGGGTCCTGCTCCCAGCCCCACCGGGATTTGCGTCCCTTCCTCCACAGCTCTGCTCTGCCACACGCACGCCTGGGAGCCCCCTGCACCTCCCAAGGGTCCCCTTGCTGGACGACCGGAGTCGGCGTCCAGCACTTCTGCACACAATGTGGTAAAGCTGAAACAGAATGTTCTTCAATAAAAACTAACCTGGGGTTCGTTTCCTAACCGACTTTGTGGGGTGGACACAGAGCAGTGGCAGCGCGGCCCACCGGCCTCCTGACCACATGCCCTGGTTTTGCTTGGTGACTGGGGTGCTCTGCCCACAGGCTGGCTTCTGGGCCTTTCCTCCCAGCAGAGGGGGTTCCCCAGGGTCCCCCACGAATTCCACAGACACAAGTGGCTGTCCTGGGGATGGGCGGCAGGTGTCTTTCCTCCAACGTTCCAGAGCCGGGTCTTTCTGGGACCCCCGGAGAGTCAGGATACTTCCAGGACGATTCCAGACAGTGAGTGGCTGACCACACGCAATCCCCCCGGGGCCGAGCCTCTCGGGCCGGCCTGGACAGGCCCCGGGAAATTCTACGTGAGCCATCCCATCCCCTGGTCCTCTCCTGCCGAGAGATGTAGTGCTGAGGACTGGGCTGGGCTCTGGGCTCCACGTGGGGATGTCCACGCACCGACCACAGATACACATGCTTTTCCCAGCACAGTGTTGGAGGAGCAAAATTTTAGAAAACTCATTTTTATTTTTCCTAACACTTGGGAGTTATTTTATCCATTTATAGCAATTCTGTTGTTTCCCTTTGTTAAAACTAGGTTATTTTGAAACTGGTAAAAAATGAGTAAGTGAACGTAATTAACAAGGCAAGTAAACCCGTAGAATCTTACTTCACAGTCTTGATCCCAGTTACTGCGTTCGCCGTCTCTTTCCGTATTACTCTCGGTTCTGGAGAGACGCACGTAGGCGGCCGTCCGAGCCCGTCTGAGGGCACAGTTCTGGGTTGCTTGTGGCTTGTGGCTGTCACTCTGCTGTGCGGTCGCCACGGCCTAGGCCTCCAGAACCTTCTCCTCTGGCAGGAGGGGAACCGCCCCCGTCAGACCCGCAGCCCGCCCGGCCCTCCCTCCCCCCGCCCCGGTCCGTGGATTCCGCTGGGGGGTCCCGCTTCCTGGCTGGCTCCCGTCACTGACGGTGGCATCCCTGAGGTCCCTCGGCGGTGCAGCAGGTGCCGGGCTCTGCGGGGCGACAGACATTCATTCTGCCCGTCCCTCCGCGGCCGCTGCTTCCCCGGCGCGGCCGCCCCTGCGTGCTCCTGCTGTGAGTGTGGGCGTGTAGGGTCGGTTCAGGACCTGCTGCCGCTCTGGGAGAACATCCGAGTGCACTGGCCGGGCAACGTGGTCGTTCTCCTGCATGTTCTGCTGCTGCAGACGGGCTCGCACCGTCCCTGCGCGGGTGCCGTCCCCACAGCAGGTCTCCGGTCTTCTGTCCCTGACGCGCCTGTCCCGTGTGCGATTCACGGACACACTTCCTCCGGAGAGAAGTCCTGATGCCAGCTGTGTCCCTTGTGACTTTGGGAAAAAATTTTAAATTATTTAATGTCAATAACAACCAAATAATATTTAAAAGAAGAAAAACTAATGTTTAAAAAAAGCCAAGCATTACAAAGCTTTACCAGGGAAAAGGCAGGATGAAGTAAACTTGGAAAAGTGGCTGCTGAGAGGAGAGGCAGGGAGCAGTGGAACGTGGGCGGCCTCTGCCGTGGGAGCCTGTGGGCTGCGGGCGTTGGTGCCGCGGGAGCCCGACTTGCGGTCGTGGGCCACCGTGCTGGGTACCTGCGTTAGACAGCGGTTCCACCGCTCTCGCCGGAAGCAGGTCACACTGGCTAGCTCTGCCTTCACCGGGGGACACTGATAAAAATAACGTATTAAATAGAACGTCTCTTTTTTTTTTTTTTTTTTTTAAGATTTTGACTGCAAGAGACACAGCGAGAGAGGGAGTACAAACAGGGGGAATGGAAGAGGGGGAAGCAGGCTCCTGCTGAGCAGAGAGCCGACGCGGGGCTCGATCCCAGGACCCTGAGATCATGACCTGAGCCAAAGGCAGAGGCTTAACCCACTGAGCCACCCAGGCGCCCCAGAACGTCTCATTTTTGACTTGATTTCGATTCATTACCCAGTTTTTATGATAATGCTATGAGTTTGGTAGAAATTATTATTAGTTTTATTTTATTTTCCAAATAGTTGACAAAACTACATCATAGGGAGGTCGTGATGGCATCTTTTCCTGGGAAACCAGCCGGAAGGCGTTCTCTATACACACAACGTTGACAGATGGAAGACGAATGGGCCCTCTCGGGGGCGGATGGAAGAGGAGGGCTGCCCAGCTTGGGGCCAAGGTGTCTCCAGGACAGAGGAGGGGAGGGTGGGGGGGGCGCGTAGGGGCGGGGTCCAGAGGCAGCGGGCCCGAGGGCCGTGGGAAGACACTGCGTAGATGCCCGTGATCTCACGGCGCCGTGGGCTGTGAAGGCACGTCAGCCTGTAGGCTTCCTGGTCCCCCAGGGTTTCTCAGGGACTGACCTTCATGTCACAGGACAGGAGCCTGAGGCTCAGCGCGGCTTCCTGGGGTGGCCCTGTTGGGTGCACTGTCCGCAGCAGGTGGACGAGGGAGCAGGGACAGGATGGCGGGCGAGTGCCCCGGGGAAGGGACGCTGGCTTCCTGGTGATGCCGACGTCTGGTGGAAGAGTGGGACGGGACACGGGTCTGTCCCGCCTGCCGCCGTTTCAGGAATCTGGCCGCTGTGAAGATTCTGTCCTGGGATGTGGGTGACCAACGATTCGTATCAGGTGGCGTATGTCCTGGGGTTTACACGCTCCCGGCACGCCCATGTTTCTGTGGACAAGAAAGCGAGGTTGTGACCGCAGGCTGCCCACGCCGGGTGCGGAGCGGTGGGCTAGACGGACTCCGGAGTTAACAGTGTCTCTTCATTTCTGACGTTCTCTTCCGATGTGGGACTTGGCTTTCCTGGCCCGAGCTGAGCCGACTGCACGTCTCAGACCGGGGTCGGTAGGAAAGGTTACTCAGGTTTTGCAGACGCTGGCCGGTCAGCTGGAGACGCTGACACACTCTGTGACTGGACCTGTCGACCCATCGGCCCCGAAGAGTGGCTGCGCGCGGGGTCCAGGCAGCCCGCTGTCCCGGAAGGTGTCTTCCTTGGAGACCCACTGGCTCTTGGCTTCGGAGTTATTAGATTAAACTGTGTAAAGTGACCAGTGACCTGCTGGTTTCGATCTGCAAGGAGGTAACTTCGTGTGGTTCCACCAGGTATGTTTGTCAAAGGAGGGATTTCCTGCTCACGCTGACCCTGCCTGCCTGGCCTCAGTTTCCCCTTGCCTTCTTCCCGTCATCTTTCCCACAACAGCCACGAGTGCCAACTTCGTTCCAGGCCTTAATTACAAGTGACCTGTCGACTCATTTCCTCTCCGTGTCCCCAGCTTGATTTTCGTTTTGTGGCTCTTAGCAGCTTCACGGTACCTTCCGAGCCTGGGACGCGAGCCCACGGTCAGGTGCACAGCCCGCAGGACGCGGGTCAGAGCCCCGGTCAGCGTCCGTGCAGGGGCGTGTTCTGGAGGAAGAAAGTCACCGACATGGTCATGAGCGGAAACTGCGCTGCTCTTCCCTTCCGGGGTGTGGGCTGGGTGGAGGCCGTGCCGGCCGGCATGGATCAGGAGCTCCCTGTTGGCTCTCGGCTTCCGCTGCCGGCAGCCACGAGGTGCAAACACGGCTCCCCCCACAGCCATGAGGGGCCACGGTCCGTGTCATTTGAATAGCAGTGGCAGCTGCTCAGAGAGATGGTCCAGGCTGAGCCGCGGGCGCTGACACGGGTCACGCAGCTGGGTGAGGAGTGCGAGCGCCCCGCCCCGGCCTCCGCAGTGCAAGGGTCCATAGAGAGAGCCTCAGATGTGGGGCCTCGGCCCTCACGGGCTGACACGGCGCTTGTCCGTGGCCTCTGCTCCTCAGCCCTGGACCGTCACCATGTACTGTCATGTGGGACTCCCCGGTTCTCAGTGGCTTCCCGAAGACACCACCCGTGACTCAGCCTCTCAGGTCCCCTCCTGCTCCCGTTCTCGTCCCCGCAGCCGGCCCTGTGGGACCCCCTCCATGGAGTGGCAGCGGCCGTCCGTGGTCCAGAGCACCATGTTTCTGTGAGTCTTGGGCATTTGCCAGCCATCGGGAAAACACTGGTTTCCACCAAAGCCCCCGACGCTGCGCTTCCAGACCTGCTCCGGAAGCGGCCGGCGCACCACGCTCCGTTGCCGGTGGTCAGCCGGGGCCGTCCAAGTGCGTTACAGGTGGATGAGAAGGTGAGAAAATCAAAGCCTTCCTAAGTGAAACCAAACTCATTTTTCTTCTACTGTGAAATAAAACAGCATTTTTCTTTCATGGATATGGAATGAATCTGTGCAGTTTTCTGTTGTTCTTTTATGGCTAAAGTTTTATTTTTTCTACAAATTTTGTATATTTATTTTTTTAATTTTATTTTTTCAGTGTTCCAAGATTCATTATTTATGCATCACACCCAGTGCTCCATGCAGTCCGTGTCCTCCTTAGTACCCTCCACCAGGCTCCCCCATCCCCCCCCCCCGCCCCCCCCCCCCCCCCCCCCCCCCCGGCAAAACCCTTTGTTTCTCAGAGTCCGCAGTCTCTCATGGTTCGTCTCCCCCTCTGATTTCCCCCACACTCCTGGGTATTTACCCCAAAGATACAGATGTAGTGAACAGAAGGGCCATCTGTACCCCAATGTTTGTAGCAGCAACGGCCACGGTCGCCAAACTGCAGAAAGAACTAGATGCCCTTCAACGGACGAATGGATAAGGAAGATGTGGTCCATATACACGATGGAGTATGATGCCTCCATCAGAAAGGATGAATACCCAACTTTTGAAGCAACATGGACGGGACTGGAAGAGATGATGCTGAGTGAAATAAGTCAAGCAGAGAGAGTCAATTATCATATGGTTTCACTGATCTGTGGAGCATAAGGAATAACACGGAGGACATGGGGAGATGGAGAAGAAAAGTGCTTTAGTTCTTTTAAAGGAGGCTATACTTTTAAAAATTTGGGGTAGGGATAACTGAATTAGCCATTTTTATTTCTGAATGAAGAAAAGATATTTTTTCCTTCAAAAGGCAGCATTGGGAAGATCAATAAGCAGACCACAGGGCAGAGGGACAGACTTTGTGCGGGACACTACGGACACCACACCAGACAAACGCCTGTTTCCACGTAACAGCAAGAATGACTCTAGGGGCGCCTGGGGCTCAGCCGGTTAAGCCTCTGCCTTCGGCTTAGGTCATGATCTCAGGGTCCTGGGATCGAGTCCCGCATGGGGTTCTCTGCTCAGTGGGGCGTCTGCTTCTCTCTCTGCCTCTGCCAATCCCCCTGCTTGTGCTCTCTCCACACCCACGTCAAATAAATAAATCTTAAAAAAAAAACCACAAGATTCTGTGAGAGAGTTTTACTTTGCAGATTTGTTTAGAATAGTATTTAATTTCCAAAAATTGTGTAATTAAATGACATGTTTGAGAACCAAAGTGCATATGATTGGGATATATTCACGTGTAATGAGAACGTACACAGATTTAAAGCAAAAATCCAACTTCGGAAAAGACATGTGAAGGATGGCTTTCTGGTCCTGCGTCGTCAGTGTGATAATTTGGATCCTGAAGAACAAAACAGCAGAGAAGGTGCATGTTCTCATGGGAGGGCTCAGTGTTTCGAAACACAAATTTAATAGTCCCACTTCTGCATTATCCTAAGAAATTTCATCCTATATCAATGAGAGAAAATCAAACATTAGGTTTGTGAAACGATCACACCGCGGAGGTTTGTTTAGTGAGATTGGTTTTGCTTACTGACAAGACAGCCGGTCAGCGAGAGGAGGAAGGGAGTCCTTGTCCGCGTAGGGGAGCTGTTTCTCAGGCCTCGGTGACTTCGGAACGAGTCTCTGAAAATCCCAATCAGGAGATTCTTGTAGCTGATTTATTTATAAAGCCTGATGCAGAAGAATGAGGTTTGCAAGAAAATGCTTAAGTTTTCACTTAAAATTTGACAAGATTTTGGGGCGCCTGAGTGGCTCAGTGGGTTAAAGCCTCTGCCATGGGCTCAGGTCATGATCCCAGGGTCCTGGGCTCAGGGCCACCCCCTCTCCAGCCTTCACGGCACTCGGGTCCCTCTGCCTGTTAAACCTCCCGGGACCCCCTGTCCTCCTGCAGAGTCGGGCTGGGCGTCCCCTCCCCGCAGCCCGAGCTCCCTGGAAGCCAGGCTGTGGGCCACAACGAGCTCACCGGTCTTCTGTTTTCCTTTGAGGGACAGAGCCCTTTCTTTACAGAAAGTGCGTCTCACTGTGAAAGCAGATTTGGGGTGGAGGGACTTGCGGGGTGGGGGAGCCCACACTGGGGTGAGGCCCTGGGGAGTGGACTCAGATGTGGGGAAGATCTGAGTCTGGGGATGAGGCTCAGGAAGGATATGCAGGTGTGCGAGCTTGCACGCATGTGTGAGGTTGCAGGAGTATCTGAGCTCGTGGGGTGTGAGCCTGTGTGCGTGTGAACTTGCATCTTTATGAGTGTGTGAGCCTGCACAAGTGTGTAAGCTCACACAAGTACCTGAGCTCGCACGGGCATGCACGCTTGCGTGGTTGTGGGAGACTGGGGCTCTCCTCAGCAGGACTTATTTGCCCGGCTGTGCTGTGCACACATGCTCACGTGACAGCCGGCTTGCCGCGGGGGCCCGCTCCCATTAAACCTGTGCTCTGCTGGGGTTCCCCCTCCCCCTCGCCCCTTCTCTCCTCAGAGAGCCCAGAGGACTGCAGGAATTTCACTCCTGGCTCAAGACCTTGGCCCCATAGGACCACGCGGAGCCTTTCCTCCTTCCTTGTTTCTGCAGGCCCCAAGCGGCCCCGATGGTGGGCCTGCGGCTGGTCTCCCTGGGTGTCGCTGTTAGCTTTGGGAAACTGGTGGTCTTGGAGAAGTCCCGCCAGTGCTCTGGGGTGATGAGCCAAGTGCATGGGCACTGCAGCAGGTGACCCACGCCAGCCCCCGGGACCCTCTCACGTGACCGCAGGGAGAAGCCCCGAGCAGGTCGCACCGGGGAGCCAGCCGCACGGAGAGAGGTGTGCAGACCCTCCTCTCCAACAATCAGCCACGACAGACACGTAACGTGCGGAGCTGATTCACGGTCTTCCGCGTGCCTCCTACAGATCAGGAGACCGGCCGACGGCGCCTCGGGACGCACGCGTGTCGCTTGGGAGCCGCCTGCAGGCCTGCAGACCCTGCCCCTGCTGCAGGGTCCCCGCGCAGACGAGCCCCGGCAGCTCCACGCACCAGTCTCAAGTCCTGTCTCCGGGCCCTCGCTGCCTCGAGTGGAGGAGCACAGTGTTCACTGACCTGCCGGAAGGCTGGCTTTCTTATAGTCAACCCCCTTTACTCTGCCCCACGGCCCTTCGGCAGCGAGACTGGTAGGGTCCCTGACTGCAGCTCTGATGGGGAAGCCACAGTGGGAGTGGGATTTTCAAAGGGTTTTTCTCTGGTGTCAGAGTAGGGCAGGGGTGGGGAGGGAGGCTGCCCCTAGGGGCCTGGAGCATGCTCTCCCCATGGGTGGAAGGACCCCACAAATCCAAAGTCTTTTGTCCTAAACAGAAAAGAGAAGATTGGAATTTTTAAATTTCTGGAAAAAGATAGCAGGTTTGTGCTCCTTCCCTGAATGTGTCCATTTCCCGGGTAAACCAGTGAGAAGCTGCTTCTGACGTGTCTTGTCTGCAGGTGTCTCGTGCAGGTGTCCCGTCTGCAGGTGTCCCGTCTGCAGGTGTCTCGTCTGCAGGTGTCTCGTCTGCAGGTGTCTCGTCTGCAGGTGTCTCGTGCAGGTGTCCCGTCTGCAGGTGTCTCTTGCAGGTGTCTCATCTGTGTTAGGGTCCGTGATCAAAGAATGAGACTGATTAAAGCAAAAATCAAACAAAGCTTTATTTCACGCCAAGCATCAAAAATCAAACTGACCGGTCAGGGCTGTCTCTTACGAAAAGGTGACGACGATGACCCCGGCAAGTCCGCTCCCAACGTGGCTGCTCTGGACAAGGTCTTTCTGTAGATGAGGCCGCTCTGGACGAGGCCACTCCCAGGACGAGGCCGTAGCTGATGAGGTCACTCCTCAGGGCTGCTCCCCGGAAAGGCTGCTCCCCGGACAAGGGCTGCTCCGGCGAGGCCGCTCCTCGGACAAGGCTGCTCACAAAAAGAGGCCGCTCTGGAGGAAGCCTCTATCCTGACAATGCTGCCTCCCACAGGGCTGCTCACCGAGGAAGCCTCTTTCCAGATGAAGCCGCTCCCCGGAATGGCGCAGCTCCAGCGAGGCTGCGGCTCAGGGTATCGAGGCCGCTCCTGGCAGCGAGGCCGTTCGCAGCGAGGTTGCTGGCGTCAGGCCGAAGTCGCGGTGTGGGTGGGGCTGCGGACGTCAGGGCCGCTGGTGGCTCGGGTCCGCTGGCGTCTCCGCTGCAGGTGGCTCCGCTGCTCCCCGCGGCGCCACTGCCGAAGCCGAGGTGTGGGCAGGGCTGCTGGTGTCGGGGCCGCTGGCGGCTCGTCTAACTCTGACAAGAGCTGTCACACACTCACAGCTCTTACAAGAGCTGCTACAGCTCCTATAGCTCTTACAAGAGCTGTCACAGCTCTCTTTCTTCTGCTCCCGCCGACTCTTCTGCTGCTTCTTCTTCCTTCTTCTTCTTCTGACAGCTCTCCTTCTCCCTCTCGCCAGCCCCGCAGACCAACCTTTATGGGGGTGGTTGAGCCCCGCCCCTACACAGGTAGCCAGTTGAATCCCAATTCACCCAGTGGATATACCCACGCCACACCGATTGGACGTCTTCACCCGGCCTGCCCCGCCCCTACTGCCGGGGTCCACAAGCTAGTTACTCTGGGAGGGGCAGGCCCTTACCTTCCCCCCTTTTCTTTGGAGATTAGTCAAATCCTTGACTTTTCAGCTAGTTCTAACATTTTATCGCTCCAATTTTTCTTTACTACAGCAACATAAACTTAGTTTTTTTAGTCTTAGTTTTAGTCCATGGTCAGCGGGGTCTGTCGGCTGCAGCTTCCATCTCTGGGGGGCTTCCCTGCTCTCGGCTTGTTTAATGTGACCCGCATGAACCCGGCCCTAATGCCTTCTACTTTTACTGCCGTGGGAGTCGTTAGGATAACAGTAAACGATCCCTTCCAGCGAGGCTCCAAGTTCCCCACTTGATAGCGACATATCCAAACCAAGTCCCCGGGTTGGTAAGGATGTGGTTCTGCCATTGTCTCTGTCCCAGTGTGGGCAGTTCGGACCCCTGCATGGGCTTTTTTTAAGACAGACTGTAATGCCTGCAGTGACTGAAGTACAGACTGATCAGT